GAAAGTAAGCGTGCTGCAAAACATTCACTACATGCAGACCGTGACACCGGTCCCGCGCCAGGCTGCCCAGCGGTGCTTCACGCCTTTGAGCGTGTTTACCCAGTTGATGAACGGAGAACAATCGTAATGTTTGCAAACAAGCACAGATAATCCTGCCCCCCAATAAAAGCTAATCCTTCCAGTATGGATTACCTAAGCCATATGTCTCCACTTAATGACACAAGTTTATCTTTTCATCAATATTGTCTGAGGCATGTTGCTGGAACCAAACAGATCGATAAATCAATAAAGTCCTTCTCCTCGTATGAATGACATATTTCGTCTATCCGAAAGGGCGTGTTTATATGGAAAGTTCTTATAATTACTGTTTGACTTTCTGTCAAAAGGTATTGTTATATTTGTCCTGATAGTAATCTGGACCATTAGGTTAGCTCCGATAGATCTGATTGATTGATTGATTGATGAGAGAGAAAATACAGATGACAGAGAGCATGTTATTGTCAGCAATTGTTATTCATTGGAGGAGAAGCGACACAGTTGGGTTGCACCTTTTTCAATGCTCCAAGTCTCCGACTGGTCAGGGATTTCAGAACTTCTGTGGCTATGATTGTCTTTCTTTTGTTGCTTATATTATATTTCCGGTATTTTTCTACATTTCCGCCCCTGAATGCAAGTCATTTAAGTGAGTATGATAATATTTTTTTTTTTTTTAGGTGTACAGTATCTCCTTTAGATGCTTTCATTTGATAAATGTCTACCGGAAGTCCAGGTGTCTGCTGAAAGGCGTTTGAATATGAATATTGTTTTCATCCTTTTGTGGACTCTCAAATGGGACTTATTTTCTTGTGCATTTCAACTTTTCATATGCTGCTAAATTCTATTGACATGTTTTCCCTATAATTATCTCTAATGAAGTATTAGGGTAGCCTTCAACCTTGTATTCATTTTGTATTGAATAATTATGACTGATTGGTTTGTTATTCAAGGTATTACCAAGATAGTTGAACTTGGTGGTTTTCATGATTGAGTGCAATATAAAATACCTATTGTATTTGTAAGCAGACCAAACTGAATTGTGATAAATTTAGACTAGTAAGTATAATAGGTTTCATCAACAAACTTCAAACACGGTTATCCAAATACTCAATTGATTTGTCAGGAATATCCTATTGTGTAGTAAAGGACACTTTTTTTTCTTCTTTATGTAAGAAACTTATTTGTTCAATTTTGAGGTTTATTGGACATGTAGGTCACCAAGACTAATACAAACAGCCATTGCAGAGCGTGGTTTTGGAAATTCACGGTTACAATTAAGACATGTTATATACATGTACTCCCTAAATGTGGAAATAAATCGAAAGAGCATTCGCTTTGAATATGCAGTGGAAACCTTTTGAGGATACTTTCCTTGATACTGCAAGGTGCATGAACATCTTGTTGCAGGTTAGTAATGTAGGACTATCCACATTGTTCTTTAGAATGAATTCTTTAATTAAGACCTTCATGCACTTCTGATACAAATGTAGACCAAAACTTATAACAAATTTGGATAAGTGATTGTGTAAGAAACGGTGAAGGTGTACTGTACATGTACATTTACAAGATAAAGAAATAAGGTTTCAAGGATGGTTAAAAAATAGGTGAAAGTAGATCAGTGTCTTCATGAGTTACCTGAGCTCAATTTCAAAGAAACACATTATAATTAAATGGAAAAGTCAGGATACTTCCTAAGTCATGAATGCTGAGTGTTAAAAGTCCTAAGGGAAACAGGATCATTAGCAAAGGTGAAAGAAATAGAGAGAGAAAAAAACACAAGGGGAGATTCCAGCAAACCTTTCTATTGATTCTGAAAGGGGCTGTGTATGACCTCGATTTAGAGTTCGCTGTCTTTGGCTGACGCCAGCATACAATAGTGGCCAGTTTGCAGTTGGGCTCACGCCAATGCCAGCTCCAATCGGCCATCTCCGCCCTCCATTCATCCCTGCAGTTTGTGAAAAGAAACGACCTACTGATTTGGGAGAATGAATCAAAAAGTAAAGAAGAGAGGGAGAGAGAGAGAGAGATAGAGCCGAGCGAAAGGTAAAGATAATAAAATCTTTGAAATGTAGATAGTTAAAAGTAAAGATTTGTTGTGTATACCTGAGTGGAGACACCTTGGAAGATAAAAAGAGGCAAAGAAAGTGTATGGGGAAAGTGTACTTTCAGGCGTCATCAGTCATCACCTCCCCATAACTGAATGAACATTCAAATAGTGGAACAGCATCCCGTTGAGAAACTGGAATAAACACACTTCTTATAATGTAATAGAAATGGCATGCATTATAGGCAATAACCTTCTGAAGTCTACAATGTACAAAGAGATAATGGGATTCGTTCTAAATCTAATGATGTGGGAGGGGTGATAAAAATAGAGCAAGTGAGAAAATTATGACAACTTCGAGGAGACTGTCAGACAGTCCTCGACATAAAATTGTCTGTCTCGGAAAAGATCTATTTTTCCTAATGGGCGAGAATTGAATTTCCATTCATAACTCACTGTGCACCCGCCAGAAGACATTCAATGATTGGGTTCAAGCGGGGGTCTTGCATTTGGGGATGGTGCCAGAATTGTAAAGATGGACAATGCTTTGAACAATCTTTGATGATATTGATGATATTGATGAATTTAACTCCAGGCAGAGGCAAAGAATAAGATGCGATAATAAAAAAAATACCCATTTTGATGAAAACCAGAACACAGGTGCATTGAAGATAAAGCAGTACTAATGCAGTACTAAAAATTTGACGGAGAATCATTCAATTTTGTATCTTCAAAGCCATTGGATGTAAAAGGAGAATATAATGGAATAAAAGCAAGAAAAGAAATTTATGATGGGCCTGTGTATTCCAGTGCAGATTTCAAATGTGAAATAACCTACTTTTAGTACTTTACTTCATCGTTTTTGTCCTCTAACTATGAGGACTTGGAATGTTCAAATATTCAACTAAAAGAAACCAGATGAATATTTGTTGCAATATGGTCATCATTTTTCTTTGTATTAAGACAAAATAGAACATACAACAGAATGGTTGATGTCCCTTGATTACACTCATTATAGAAAAAAAAAAATCACATTTCTACTGCTTTGTAATATTCATTAGGGGGAACAAAATCAGTGATTTTATGTTAATGAAATTGTCTTAAATGATCGGAAATATTGTAAGGGCTATAGATGGTAATATGTAGAAATACATGTATAACAAAATTAACAATGTTACTCTGATAGGACCTACTAAATCTTTAAAAGCAAATGACCTGCGAAGAGAGAGAGAGAGAGAGAGAGAGAGAGAGAGAGAGAGAGAGAAAGAAAGAGAGAGAAAAAGGGTGGATTCTAACGCTGGAAAGCTGATGACCGCAAAAAAACTCACCCAGAGGCATGCGTGAAATGGTGTATGTCGCAATTCACTTCTGAGTTTCATATTGTTCTGGAAATTTCCCTTTGATCCGTGAAAAGATCATTGAATAAAGGAAAGGGTCCTAGGGGCGGTGGAGAGACCAGAAAAGGGGGAATCCATTGCAGGAAGTATGGTCCATAAAGTCTAAATTGCTGGGCTATTATCTTGAGAATAAAAGCAAACCACTTTCAGAATAATTCAAACCAATGTCGGCCTTCATTTTCACTCAACAAATTTGCAATGATATTTATTATGCTATTGTACACAAAGTGATTTTCATCTTTTTAATGTTTGAAAAGATGCTGTTACAATATTTGCCCCCTTCAATAACAGGTTAGATGAATAGATATAATGGGCTTCTCAGTTAGCGCTGTAGGTATGATTGATAGGGTATTATTGGTAGGGGGTCACAATAGCCGTACCCCCCCCTTTTTTTGTGAAGACTTTGAAATGATAGCAAGTGTATTCTGAGAGAAATCTTAGTCTACAGGTAGAGACTTGTTACTGTAGCATTAATAGAACAGTGTGAAGGTTGTCATAGATGGAATTGAAATTTATGGATATTTCCGGGGGACTCAAGAACATTGGTAAGTAAGTACTTTAGTGCGCTCATAAATACTATTTCATGAGGGTGAATGAAGTTTTGAAGTTGTTCATGAAAAAATAGGTTAAGACATAGAAATGATGAGGTAAATTTGGAATCCTGTTAATTCATTGTAAAATACATTTTAGATCGATGATTCAGTTATATATACCAGTAACCTTTTTGGTTAGGAAGGCTGAATAATGAATATCCTTGTAATGTGAAAGGACATTTCACTTGGCAACTTTCACAATCATTCTGCTGGTCCATTTTTGTTAAACACATGTATTTTCAATTCACGTTTGACTTAAGTGTCGACCCCAATTATGATAAGTACATACAAATTATTAAAAAAGAAACAAAGTATAATCACGTGACATTTGTTGGACATGGGCCTGAAAGAGATCCAATGCTTTGCATTCTAACTTACACATACTGGCTTGATGCCTGCAATGCCGCAACTAATTGGATATGGCGGGATATATATTGTGATACAACCTTATGCTAAAACCTTGGAGCTACAAATTATTAGTTCTGTGATTAAACCCTGGAAGCTATCAACTCTTTGTATACATTCCCCGATTCTGTGTTTCCAAAGGACCTTATCAGGTAATCTCGGTAAAACAATATAGAGGAAGCACAGGAAGCAATCTAGTTGAGGTTTGTTTGCCTTGTACTTGATGCAAGGGTCACTATCAGGGCATTCAGGAATACTAGCATGAGCTTTCTGATTACATAATGTCATCACCTCTGATTTATAATCTGATAAGAAACATAGTTTAACCAGGGATATATCATATCCCTGGTTTAATCACCTAGGCTGTGATTGTTTATAGTGTAGCAGGAATTTTTGCAGCAATAATCTGGTGTGATAATAATCCAATGAGATAATCTGATGTGATAATAATCTGATGTGTAATGATCTGATGTGATAATTATTATGGTAAGCCCCTTTCCCCAACATTATAAGCCCTACATCACCTACTGGTACATGTATATCAATCATTTTTTGACTGCTGTTTTCTTTTGATGCCTGCATTGCCTGTTAAAGCATGTTGGTCTGCACTCTGCTGCAACTGTGGGCTCCGGGAATGTTGCGTGAAATAAGAACTGGGCATTGTTGGAGTTACATGTAGTTTATGAACCGACTTATTATAGTCCATGGAATCATTTTTGGTGTGAGCCCTGTTCTTGTGGATTGTTGCTATTTGTCTTCTTGAAAGTTGGAGATTGGAGATATTGTGTCCTTGATTTAGATTCCCATAATCAGGTGAGAAGTTATATGGCTTTTAAAAAATCTACTTAATGTATGATGCATCTCCCTAAATCATACACATCAGTGGTAGATAGAATTTTGTTTGTGACATCTACATGTAGTTCTTTTAAAAGATTTTGCTTGACCATTTTCGCAAATTGCAATATGGAAAAGACAAAGGTATCATTCAAATCGTATTTATTTGCACTTCTAGTTATTCCCAAAAGATACTTTTATTTTCATCTTTTGTTTTGAGCCAGAACTTCAGAAGGGCATTGACTCTGTGATAAAAGTATTTGAGTTAATGTCCTTCTTGTTTCAAACAGATGGTATATAAATGTTTATCATTCATTTGGAGTTCAGTTTAAAGAAACTATACCTAGGTTAACCTCCTTGTCCTCCGCTTGTGGACAGTGCGATCATGTGATGAAAATATAGGAAGTGAGTTGTATGAATGGAACTGACCTGTTACTAATTGCTGATTGAGTATGAGTTGGTTAGTAAATTGTTGACAGATTCTGTATTAATCACACAGGATTGTATTATGGGATGACTTGTTTTTCAAACCATGTGTGATGATTGCCAATTTGCTAACAAATGACCCATGGTGCCTAATTATGATCATTGCTTGTCAGTCAATCAGAGTCCCGTAGGGGTCGTTAACCTTGACAAGGGACATCTCTGCCTTCCGGCTTAATAAATACTGCTTATTAAGGATTATTAGAATACTTTTAATTTGGCTTTAGATCGAGTGTTGTTTCATTCATCCATGAAAGGACAAGTTAATTTTGTAATTTGGAATATGTTTATGAAATTTTGAATGTTATAATTATAATTTTCAACTTTTGTGTTGTATGAGTAGGATTAACACTCAATGTTAGTTTATACGTGTAGTAGGTTAAATTTGATTTTGCTGTATTCCTTTTTGGAGAAATGTACTCTTGATTGTGATTGAGGGAAGTTTTTGCAAAGTTCCACATGTACATGTACATTTAGAAATAAAATCTTACCAGAGAATTGTAGAATTGCCAGAGACTTGCCAGTTAAATGTAGGCCTGCTTCTTGGATGTACAATATGTTATTATCTTAATGTAGAAACAAAGCAAGTCACTAAATATTTATTGTGTAGTTGAAAGGCAGTAATTTTCTAAGAACTTTGTTAATTATCCAAATTTACTTAATAAAGCATACTATCGTATCCCATGGGATCAGTTACAGGTTAGTGTATCGTGTGTGACATTCTCATTTCCTGACTGTTCCACTTGGAAGAAGAAAGGAATAACGGTCATTAGTTCATGCAATTATCTTGAACAAACAGATGCTTTAATCACCCTGTTAAAAAAATTGGTAAATTTTGGAGGGACAGGACATAATTATTGCAATCAAGACGTTAGAAAGACCAGTGCTGGTTATGCTTCCCGCTATGAGGAAGCCAGATTATAATTACCTGTGACTACTCCAGCCCGAGGGTAGGAAACGTGATTACATGTAACGGAGCTCTAACCACTTCCAGTCAGCTGGGTCATATCACACTATGCAAAATGAGCGTCTTTTTTTTTCTCTCTGAGAAGAAAAGTAAGCAATGTTGGGTTGTGTTATAAGAAAGTGGAGTTTGGACTCGACGCAAAAGAGCTGGATTGACTTTGTAAGGAAAGATTTATTTTAGTGATCCTATGGTTGTTCTAATCATTTACATATTATTTATTGTGGATAATTTTTCAATTTTTATGAAAATAGTTTGGTGATTCAAATCATAAATGTTATGTATTGTGGATGATTTCTCATTTGACTAATTGTTTCTCTTTTTCTCCTTTTGTATATTCCTAGGTCAGATGAAGTTTTTTCCTAACCACTGCCAGTGACAACCCAAGAACACAAAGATGGCTTATACAGAGGAAGAGACTGGAAACTCAAGGATAAGCATGACCATTGAGACAGGGTCAGTGACGGTGAGGCATATATGCAAGATGTTCAGATCATCAAGAAGCAGGACAGTACAGATAATGCTTCTCTTCCACGTTTTGTCATTACTTCTCAGTCCGTGTTTATCGTATCCGCAGTTTAGCGAGGGGAACACTGCATTTACATTGCAGACGATAGCGGTAGATGCACAAAGAGACACTGTTTTCATAGGCTCGGTGAACAGAGTTTATAAACTGAACAGCAACCTGAGTCTAGAACAAGAATCTGTGACAGGGCCTGTCCAAGATGGCCCAGAATGTGTACCAAGATCCACAGACTGTGGAAGTGCAACAGACAATTTTAACAAAGTCTTACTAGTGGATGATGATCGTCTCATAGTATGTGGGACGGTGTATCAAGGAGTCTGCGATATATTGGCGGTGGACACGTTGGGTGTGTTGTCAGACATCTCTATGACAGAGGTATCTGTGAACACAGAATATGGCACCACTGTGGCATTTGTAGCAAATGGAATAGGTAATATGAAGACACTGTATGTTGGATCATCAACGTCAGAGTGGCTTAGGGGCAATGAGTGGACAATGTCCAGTAGGCAGTTGCCATCCGATCTGTCAAGTTCATCTCTTTTTCAAGTGTACAATGGAGGGGGTCCTCAGGCTCAGAATCCCTCTTTGATCCGAATACCGGCAGGTACCATTGATGATTCTCCAAGCAGCCAGAAGTTCAATATCACCTACATCTCAGGTTTTGCAGCAAACGGCTTCAGCTACTTCATCGCTCTCCAGCCGAAGGTGTACGATAGCCCAAGCAACTACTACACGAAAATATCTCGGGTGTGTCAACAAGATGACCACTTCTACTCCTACATTGAGCTTCCTCTACACTGCTATGTCTATGGCCAGGATGAGAGGACCCTGTACAACATTGCACAGTCAGCCTACGTTGGCACCGTTGGGTCAGATTTAGGATCTGATGACTTGCAACCTGGATCTGAAGTTCTCTACGTGGTGTTTGCCAAGTCGGAAATGATGAGCAAGACTCCTTCAGATACGTCAGCTGTCTGTATGTATCCTCTTTCTGCGATAGATCTGGCATACTGGGAGAGGAGGTTGGGATGTGCTCGGCTAGAAACAGACAGAACAGACATTGACTGGTTAGGATCTGTGGGTTGTGGCACATCAGATAATATGGTAAGTTGATTCTTCTGTCATTGTAAATGAAGTCTTTCTTTCAATTCTTAGTGTCATTTGAGATAGCAGATCACACACGCAGTGATTAAAGATTCAGATTGGCTAAAGAGGTATAGGAGTTTGTGTATTTTTTTTTTTGTAACTTGGAAGATTATTCCAGAAATTGAAACAAGAAAGCCGTTAAATAATTATTTAGACATTAGACAACTTAGTTTCTTGGGTATTTGATCATTTTGGTACGTTTTGAGATAATATTATATCACTGTGACTATTTCAATTACACCTTGGCCCTTTTTTCTTTTACCTTAAATGTGCTATTCTAACATTTATCTCTAGATCAATGATATCAACTCTACTGGACCCAGCTACTGCCATAAAAACGACAACAATGTACCACTTGGTGGGGATTTCCCCATTGATGCAAGGGCTGTATACACCCATCCGTCTGTCCTGACATCCATTGCGGCTACGGTTCATCGTGAGCGGACCGTCATCTTTCTAGGGGACCAAGATGGGCAGTTGAAGAAGGTATAGATATGTAACTACATAATCAGACATTTACTAAAAAAATACCTCAGTTACACCAATGAGACAGATACTAACAGTAGAATGATAACAAATTGTCATCATCCCGATGGGGCAAGAAGAGATTTGTGTCAGTTTCGAGTCATGTTTAGTAATGCATACATTTTATGGGATGTCCTGTTCGTAATTTACCACCCCCCCCCCCTTTTTCATTGTACTTGAAAAAGAATTTTTACAACCTATATCTGCTGAGTTGAGTATTTTCATTTTTGTTGGTGTTTCTGACTATTCTAAGTATTTTGAATCTTTTGTATTAAGATGTTATGTACATACTAGATTTTCATATTATCCGATGGAAATAAAGTGCGATCATTTGACTTAAGCAAAAGACAGATGGTATTGCACTTTACTCGGAGGTGAAGGTGGTCAATAATGTGGTTGCCAGGATTCTGTAGTTCACATTTAGGTGGTATGAGACAATTCTAAACCACAATGTGGTTTCTACTTCCTAGTCAAGCGATTGAAAGTGTGAAAGTTCATCTGTTTATATCATCATGAGTAAACAGTTTAGAAAGTAAAAATACAACTAATTGGGTGGGATTTTGCTTCTTTTTATTTTTTTTAAAGAAGGGATTCTGGTTTTAAAAAAATGAGGAGAGAGTGACTTTGAACTTGTGGTCAAAATAAAATCAACAAAAAATAGTTTCAGTGGTGGAAGATTTGAATTCCTAGAGACCAGGAGGCTAAAAAATATAAGATAGTTTATAAAATTGGTCGAATTTTAAAGCATTTAGACAAAATTGTAGTACAAGAAGAGGAGAGCAGTGGTGAGAAGAGGAAGACATTTCATAACAAGAAAGTATTTTCCCAGATTGTGATATCACCATTTTTCCCAGCGATTTACAAATTTATGATCTAAGCCAGTCGGTATTCTGAGAAAGTTTTTGCTCTTGGATGAAGTCAGTGTCAAAACAACACTGTGCCAGGACATTTAGATCACTTTCTCTTTGACTTTGGGTTGGTTTGGAAGAAGATCTCTCACTGGTTTACTCTGGTTTCAATAACATCAACAAAGAACAGTTTCAGTGGTGGAGGATCTCAATTCCTAGAGTCCAGGCAGGCTGTGATGTTACTGGTAGATGCTCTGTTTTGGTTAAGAGGAACTCTCTCTATTTGTGGTTATGTCAAACTCTGCCCCTTCTTGTTAAACAAAACCGCAAATTTATGATCAAATGTCATAAAACTATATTTCCTTTAGCAATCAGAAATGATTTACTTATTGCCCTGCACTTAAACATAAATGTGAAATTTCCTACCTTTACAAAAAACAAAAAAAATTAAAACTCAGACATTTACTCTGTTGAAAGTCTAGAGATATGTTGTATACATATAGTTAGTCTCCTTATGGAGATATATGAAACTTTAAAAAAAAAATCTCATCAGGCAGTTTTATTTTAATTTGTGAGATTTTTTTCATTGAATACCTTTTTTAAGTGTCTGGGTTGGGCATTGTGCAATAATCAATAATGATGGGAAAAGGCATATTTCATACCACCATAACAATGGACACATTCCATAATCTTTATGAATGTCAACTGGAATGATTGTACTATTTATAATCTGAAAATATATTCACATTCCCATGGTTTAAGAAACGTAGAAGTCCACAAATTTCTCTGGGATACCAGGTTTTTGAAGTTCCCATGAACATTCCAAGAGTTTTGTTCAGGGTAATTAACTCCTGAATATGAACATACCAAATTTTATGTTTGTTTGTGGAATGGAAATAACTTACCAGATAAAAAATTGTTTTTTAGATTTAGACCGATTTGTATAGGGTAAAGATGTAGTATTCCAGCCGAGTATAAAATCAGAATCTTGTTGAATTCTCTATCCTTGGTCATTGTAAGTCACAATACTTTCTGACACCTACTTGTTGGTTCCCATGGTCAGTTTGCCTAAGCCTCTCGCTACCACGGCAACCACACATGACACCAGCCTTGGACATGCAGGCATTCTTGTGGTCCTGAGAACACCACCCCCCCCCCCTCCCCTCCAATCTAACATTGCCAATTTGAGATGCCAATCATATTTGAGGATCCCTTTCCCAGCCGGACCATTGTTGATATTGAACTTTGCGTTCCCACCTTTCTCTCTTGTCAGGTTAACACATGTTGACCAGGGTTCTTTTACCTTCTTCCTCTGGTCGACACGCCAACCACATCCAGGGATGCAATTCCTCTGGGAAGGCAGATTCGAGGGTTTTTTTTAGGTGTAGGAAAAGTTGGTAATTTTCTCATAATAGGCATTATGCTAGAGAAGAAGGAAGTTGAATTATTTAGGAAGAGGGGGTGGTGGTTTCAGGTTTCAAGGAAAGATGAATATTATCTTGTGTTTGTGGTATTGATCAAAAGGGATGAGGGGAAGTTGAATTATGAAAGAGGATATATTCAGTTTTAGATCATTTATCACGTTATGCCTGTCTGGAATCATTTGAATTTATTCTTTTTTAGTTTTTGTCTAAAACCTTGTTTTGTAGCAAATTGAAGTAAGGAAACAAAATTCAGTGGGTAAATAGCTGGAGCCAAGTTTTTTTAATGTGTGTCTGAGTCTGAATACCATTCCTCACTGAAAACCATAAATGGATCCTAGTTATTCGGATCTCTAGACATGACAATCCCAATAGCATGTACTCAAAGTGCAATCATGAAAGAATGTTTAGGAACATCAAAACATTCGGTTTACCAAATGTTGTTGATAAAATAGATAGTGTTGCCTGGTTCAAGTTCAAATAACATTTTTTTGATAATCCGCGCCTCCGGGCGGTTTTTCTTGTATCTTATTTCTACAGCTTAAATCGCAAATAGTTGAATGAATAGCGAGGTATTTTGTTTTTCTGTCTTGTTTACATGCCACACGTCTCTTACTCTTATCCCATTCCCCCTTTTTCCACCTCAGTAGCATAACAAAGAACCTAAGAGGTGTTTTGCAACATTCATGGGAGACATAAATAGAGAGATTTGAATTATTCAGGACTGCATTGGAAGGTTCATGCATTGTACTAGTAGTACCAACGTGCACAAATTATGAAGCGAGGACTTGGATGAACATGAAGAATAGAAGACATTTTCAACAACAACGACGAGTCAGAATGTAATCCCGTAAAAGCATAGTAATGAATACTTTGATAGGCAATGCCAATCATCCCTTTACTCAACCAACCCTTCCATGTACTCGAAAATATGTGAAAATATTTGAAAATATTTTGGACATCTGTCAGTTCCAATATATTTTTTTCCTTATTGTTATTCAACTGGATCCATTGCTTGTCTCTCTCACGCATTATGTATTACATATTTCATCCTCTCTAAACACGAACATGTGTGGGTGCCCCCAGTCTGTCCAATCCTCTACCTCTTCGAGGGGTTAGTCTGAACATGGTCTAAAGATGTCCCCTGCCAACAAACACTGTCTGCATCGATCCTGTCCTCATACTAGTTAACAGGTTGAGCCTCCCCTGCCTACCATGATCAGTATCTTACTTCTAGGCAAGGGATCCACTCTCACCTTTGTGTCCCAGTCAAGAAATATATTTTGGTACTATTTGAGCCATTTTCTGTTAAAATTGCAAAAGTTGGTTGGAGCCTGAAGTGAAATTTAGGGGTCCATGTGTATCAGGGTTGAGCCTTTCTGTATGTATGTAAGTCTTTAAGTTCCCCAGTCTCCACTCCATGTTATTCTTCTTACATGTAGGTTTATGAACATTTGCTATATCGAGATATTTCAGATAAGTATAAAAATCAGCAGCATAGTACCCTAATAATTTGCTCCTTGTCGATATCTGCATCATTTGGATTTTAATTTGATAACAATCAATGGAAAGAGGTACCCTGTCTGTTAAAAATATTGTTTATCTTTTTTTTAGGGATCTGAAGCATGACTTGTTATCAGGTTGTTGGTTTTGATAAATAAGCAGGAAATGGACCTGTTATAATTTAGGGTGGGTGCGTCGGTGGCTCCATATTTTAATACGAAATCATTGACTAATGACTTATGTTGTCTAGACCTGTCTCCATGTGTTATTATCCTACTGATCATTTCAAACCAAACCAAACCAAACATAAAAAATGCTGAAGCCGTTAAACAAAACCTTCCACCCACTTGTGGATGTTTTTGTTTTTAGAGCGCATGCAAAAATGTGTCTGAAGCCAGCCAGCAAGCCAAGTCTTGCTGCTGTACGTACCCACTTCCCTCCCTTCACTCTCTGTAGGGTTTGTGTCTTGCCCACCATCTGCGCCCCAGCAGGCGACCCCAGACACCCACTCCCAAGTGTTTGTAGGGGCATGACCCCTTCAAAAATAGACAAATCAAAATTCACAAATTTGACAGCCAATGCAATCCTGTCATGCATTTCCTAAAATCTTACTGTTAGCAAAAATATTTGAGTACCTGTTCTGTCTTTGAGGGAAACCAGAAATTTTCTTTTTCAGAAAAATTACCAAATAGAGCTGACTTCCTTCCTCAAACATACACCTCTTCCATTTTGCAAATCACTTTTCTTTGTTTGTGTGAAATGGAGTGTTATCAGATTTTGTGCAGAAAGGGTGCCGTTTCCATGTACTCATGGAGACAATATCCCTCCTCCTTTCCCCCCCCCCCCCATTTTCAAAAAGCTATTTTCAAGTTTCCAGGGCCTTTTATGAGCTATCAATTTACACATACTACATGTATATTATACTGCAACTTCAATGCTCAACCTCGATTGTCATTTAATGAGATTCTAAATATAGTGCTTCAGTGGTAAAGTGGATTGACCTCAGGGCATCTAATTGTCGTTTTAGTGGACAAAATTAATATCTCATTTATCTGACTTGAGAAAATTAATTGCATCTTAAAGGGGTGAAGATGATGGCTTGATTGGAATTTTATTAGTTTTGAGCATTAAAGACCAAGAATCAACTTGCATGGATTTCTCATTAAGAATTTAAGACACAGTGAATAGACCAGTTCAGGTTAGCACATGTCCCAAATGACCCTGAATATCCACAGATCTTCAAAACATGAAGAGGTCCCACTTTATATATTTTTAATTAATCACTCCTACAGCGATGGAGGTGCTACATAAATAGCCTTTGTTTCTCCTTTTCAAAGAATACCTGTGTTTCATGGAGTGCACTGCTTGTGCATAAATGAATAATGATTACATAACTTTCATGAGCACGTATCAAGTATTTTGTCTCCTTGTATTTCACAATTTGGTCTGCAATGACCTTTATCTGCTCATGCTCAGACTTCAACTACATGTATGAACTGGCCTATTTATCGATTGTGTCATTATCACAGTGAGGGGTAGCAATTTTGTGAAGCTATTCATCTAAAAATCAATAATCTTTTAGATATTTAAGTATGACAAAGAAAAGTGAATGTTTTGCAGTTTTATTTATGAAATCATTGTTTAATTATTTGTGTCCATTAAAAACCTTTTCTCTGCATAGAATCTAAATAAACTTGCTATTACCTGAGAATATTGAGACTTTCGAATTTTTCTTTAAGTTTTGAAGAGTCTTACAATATCTGTAATTTAATCTAAGATCATCTTTAACCTGCAATCTTTGGATTTGCTTATACTAACATTCAATCTAATTCAAACTGGCTTACATTCTGATGCCGTTCATTACTTATATCTGAATTTCATTTGGGCCCCTTTTCGAGTTTTATTTTAAGATTACGCCGTGGGAAGAGAGGGAGACCATGAGAAACGTACACATTCAATGTGTGTTTTCTCTGTTTGCACATTATACCATTTTCTGCGGATGTGTACTTTAAATGGTTCTCCAAATATTGAGTTTCTACCTCTACATTCATTATCACTATGATGTTGAATGTTCAAAGGTTGAAACAGATTGGACTTGTTATCTGTGAAATGCTTTAGGAGATTGGGTGAATAGGTCATGCTGGAAAGGGGACCTGTATATCATATCAAATTATATTTATGTTCCATTGCAAAATATTTGATTGACTTTTGAGCACAAGGGTCTGAGAAAAAGACATTTTACATTCATGAAACTTATTGTGCTCTATAAGGCTAAGGAGAGAATTATCGAGCCTGAAGTATTTTCACTATTTGTTCATTGAACTGTAAGCTTAATGACTTCTAAAAATTGGTTTCAATTTGATGGAGAAAATATCATCACTGTTAATTTGACAATATTTTTTTGGGGGGAATGGGACAGTGCATACCAAGTTTGGTCTACTTGACCACATATTGTTCACGAAAGTGAAAGAAAAAAGAGACGCATTTAGATTGTTAAGAAATGCAAATATATTTCGCAATTCTAAATTACGAAGTCAAAACTTATGAATGATAATGACTCACGCTAATCGTGGGAATTGGACTTTGGCAACATTCACAAAAGCATGTACATTTCAGCTTTTGTTAATACTTAATCCGTAGGAACTTAATGATATTTGCTTAATATCTACCATTACGATAAGGGTCACCAGATTTCATTTTTTTTTACTGCCAATTTGGTATAAAGTTTGAATATAATGAGGAAGATGTCAAGAAGGTTGTGTTTATCGTCTGTCTGTCTTGTTCAAACACTTAACTCCAGTTGTGTCTACAGTCTCACTAATATTTTATTAAATAAAAAGAATATAGGGAAAGAGAAAAAGAGGCATGTCAGCTGTTAATTTGCATTTATTTACCTTTCCTTTTCCTTTAAATTGAATTGTCATGTATCATTACTTGATTGATTTTATGATTTGATGATACAGAATGGATAAGCTATATTTTTCTCAAACGTTTATTAAATTGAATCAGAAGTTATTAATTCTGACCTAAATAATTAGTTGCAATGCAGTGCTCCAAACAACTTGTTAAATCCAACTGTCCCCCTTAAAGGTAATACAAAGTTTTGGGAAATTTTGAAAATCGGGTGGATGGTGATTCTTTACAATTTTGTAATATTTGGATGCCCCTGTGGATGTAATATAAGCACTAGAAAATTCAGAACCAAAAACAATTCTGCTTTCGAGAAAAATTTAATATAAAAATTTACCGGTGCTCCCGGTAAATTTTGATAAATTTCAAATAGAGCCTATGGCCGTACAATGTAGCTGCGACCATGAAAATCTCAGAATATGTAGTTGTATATAATTTCCAAACGGGAATAGCTAATCGTTCGATTTTAGTCAAGAAACATTTTTTTATGGCTTATTAATATCTTGACCTTGAGAGGGAGCTATACAATATAAAGAGTTCATTATTTACAATTCCATAACTTTAGACTCGATTTCAATCGCGACAACGATCACTGAATATTGTAGGATCGCATATGCTTCCAATATGTTCTTTATGTTTTTCAAAATAGCAACATGTTCTATCCCTTCTTTTATTGCTCTTCTTCTCACCAATAATTATAATATATTTTATTGTTAATTTGTTATATTTGTCTTTTATTTCACATAGCTGTGGTTGATGGATTCATCCACTGCCAAGCTGTATGAGGAGATGACGATAGATGCTGATGGTGGCATGGTGCAGAACGGCATGGTCCTAACACCAGATGAAAACCATGTCTACGTGATGACCGAAACAAAGGTAAGAAAATGAGATATTATATTTTTGATAATCATCTTGACAGCCAGAAAGCCATTAGGTCAATAGCCTTCTGGTACTCAATAGACAGATATAATGCGTCTTTGGTGTGAGTTAGGAAGACGATTTTTTTTGTGTGAATAACCATTTGGTTGCTGTCATGTTGAGCATAAACTCTCTTTGTATAGCATAGAGATGTTTTGGAGCTCAAAAATATTGGATCTTCGCTTTTGTTGTACAGCTATACTACATTGATTACAACTATGTACATAGGTCCATAGCGACATTTAAAAAAAAAGAGTCATTGAATTTATAGGTTTTTGGAAGATGGCTCGTTAAGGGAAATGTAATCACCCTTGTTCAATTAAGGTGCTTGAAGATTGCAACGGCTTTATAAAGACTTTACCCCTCATATTTTGATCCATCATCAAATCTGTGAAGTTGTCTTTTGATGAATCAGTCAAACTAAGAAGAGCACTTCAAATAATGTGTACCCTTAATCAGACCCCAGCCTGACTCAACACAAGTCTCGTACACTCATCTCTTGATGCGATTGAAGAAACGCATCCTTCAAGTTGTTAAACGCTGCATTATTCAGAGTGAGGAGACAGAACTACATTAAATGAGAAACCCCATGACAGATCGGTGGCTTTAGGCACTATTTGTAATGACTAATGTATAACGAGGAAGCTACAAATACATCTCTTTATATAAATTATAACTCATTTGTACAAATATCAGAGAGAATCAATGTGCATATTGCTCATATGTTGGCAGAGCGTGGAAGCATGGTGGAAGTACCACTTGTAGGTTTAGTCAGACTTTACATAGCACACTTGATGTAAGGTTCTGTAATGAGAATTAAATTCCAATTCTAGGCACGTGGGGGTACTCGAGTAACATTCCATCAATTATGGATGTTCCGCACATACTTCTAATGGATTTGAGGGGGCCATTGCAATTAATCATCACTCAGATCAATCTCTATCCTTAATTTGTAGCAATGTTACGATGCTTGTGTTACAGATTGATTCCTATTTACATTAATTGGAAATTAATTCAAGTTAATCATCCTGTTAAAGAACCGCTCTTGCTATTAATTTGATATTTAAAGCATGAAATAGTAACACAAATTTAGCCAATTATTATTATTTGCAATTAATGGAAATCTGTATTAAAAAACATTAGATTGGGCGCATCTGTCCCTTAAATGTCACAAAATTGTTTTCAATCTTTAGGCAATCAAATCTTCACTTTTTAAATTTTAATCTTCATCTCCTAAATATAATTTTGCAAAGATTCTGCTGCATCTGGTGAATTGCTCAGGTGTTAATTGAAAGCAATCAAACAGTGGCTTTGGATATATCAATGTTATTTCACATCCAGACAAATAGTAATTTACAGGAGTGCCCGGTAAACAATCCATCTTACAAAGTGCTAAGCTCGGCCTCAACTTTGTGATTCCAATGTGAGATTGATGTTTGTGCAGAATTAGTTTGAGATGTTTTCATATACCCCTGTCACATGAACAAGATTGGCACCATTGGAATGAACAGAAATTCAAATTACCTCAATGGCTAAAGGGCGGTTGTCTTGGAGTCGTTGTGGAGTCAGTTTAGTGGTGGGACTGAGGTCACTTTCATGTTGAAATTAATCATAGTCGTGGAGTGCTGGTTATCCAAGTAATTTTCAGCTGCATCATTTGCATGTAGGTTTTTTGTTAAGGTAACCTTTGCCAAATTGCTGCTTGAAGTTGAAATGATTGTGATGGATGAAACAGTTTAGATAAGGAAGAGAGAGAGAGAGAGAGAGAGAGAGAGAGAGAGAGAGAGAGAGAGAGAGAGAGAGAGAGAGAAAGAGAGAGAGAGAGAGAAAGAGAATCATGTCCTTTTTCATGATAAAAAACATGGCCTAAGATGTATCTATAAATATGACTTCAAAATATGAGAGAGACAAAGTGTTCTTCTATCAATCCACGAAGTGATCCATCTTTTAATGCACCTTCTTCTCTTTTAGTCCCTGTAATGCATCTTGGATGAACCACCGTATGAAAATCAATTTATCTGCCTAGAGCTAATGCTTTGAGTACGTGATCCCTCTAAATAGTGCTACTTCTGTCTCGGTTGTGTGAGTGGAAACGTGTTAAACCTCAAACAGGAATATAACCATGGACTTCAAACTCACGGGAGTAAAACGATTTTCTCAGTGGGTCTATTTTGCAGGAATTTTTAACAGCTCATCTTCATGGAATTACTGGATGGCACTGCGTTGTAAACCCGACTTTAGATGCATTTCTGTTTGCAAATATTAGATTATTTTTAAACTGTTTATTTTTTTTCGGGTAATTGTATGTCAGATATGGCTTCACAGTTCTTGGTTTTGTTTCACTTCAAAAAGGAATCTCAAGATTGGCCCAAAGAAATGCCTCAATGGCTGACATATACCTGTCATTGCTCTCTAGCTTTGACAAACGACCTCTGGACAGAAGAAGCTTTTAAAAACGGAATAATTTACATTTAAGATGAAAATGGCTTGGCAGAAAGTCCTTTCTCATTCCTGGAGATGTAAAATATCGCCTGGAGCTTGAAAGCAAGAGGTGTCAGTTTGTGATTGCACACTGTCTTTCCTCTAATTCTTAAAAAGGGTGGATAATTATAGTGGAATCTTGAAATGTTTTGTGGAGATTAATGATGACAGTGTCAAGCTCAAATTTTTTGTTTTAACTGGCTACAGTGAGATTTGAAGATTTTTTATTTTTTATTAACTTCATGGGTTTAGACTTTAGAGATTTTCGCACACACTCCCAAAAAACAAAAAACAAAACCAAAATATGGAAAAGAAGATCCAGTATGCAAATGTGACATATAAAAGGATAGTCGATCATGAATTTTGGGGTTGGCACATCCATTTGAAATAAATTTAAATGTTGAGATGATAATAGTTTGAGAGAGAAGAATTACAAGAGAATAAAATCAAAGGAGATGAAAGAGAGACAGAGAGAGACAGATGAGGGAAGGGAGGAGACGGGGGAAAAGACGGGGAGAAGACGGATGTCCAGAAGTGACTCTAGTTATAATATAAAATGTTTCTGACCAGTAATCTTTTAACAGGAGGGAGAGAATTTGGAAAGGCAATCAGATTGTATGATATGAATTATGAAAATATAGCCCCACAACCCCCATACTCCAAATGAACTTGAATGGGTTTAATTTGTTTTACAGGTCCTTTTGGGTGATACCTTATCAGATTTTGGCTAATGAAATTATGCTACCGGCCATTGGAAAGACCAGCCTGGTTAGCACATGTCCACTTCCTATGATTACCAAACCAGAATTGAAATTGAAACATCTCTTGCACTCAGTGCGGCAATTGCTTTCAGGGGTAATTAAATGATCATGATGACTTTTACATTCCAAAATGGACCCCAAATATCAAAATTATGCACATACCAGAAGTTGGCGCAGTCAAGTTCATTGAAAGGGACATGGGCAGTGGTAGAAACCGGTACTAAGAAGATATAACCTGGTATTCACATTAGCAAGTTAAGAGGTTTTTTATTGAGAAATGTACTTCCAGAGCTGCTATAATCATTGGGTCACTCAATTAAATTTCAACAAATGGCACATCTTATCGGTGCTGAGAGGTGAAGTGAGTATCTTCCGGGTATTGACCGTTTTTCCAGTCCTGGCATATGCTCCATGAATGGCGTGAACTCATTCGTCAAAGTCCTTGAATCTTGTCTTGAATCAATACAAGATGGTATCAAGAAAGATCTGTTAATTCACTCTGCATGCGTGTGTGCTCTCTACTCTCTTACTTTTGTCAATAATTTCAGTAATTCCCCAATCGTGATGAAATTGTGTGAATTATTGGTAGCAAGACCCTGTCTAGGAATTCTGTTTGCCTTCTTATTTTGCTATTGAAATGCATATGACATGTATTAAAGGTAATACAAAGTTTTGGTATGGGGTCATGAATTTGGTTCAAATGAATATATTGGAATCATATACGATCCTACTATATTCAGTGATCGTTGTCGCGGTCGAAATCGACTCTAAAGTTATGAAATTGTAAATAATAAACATTTTATGTTAAATAGCTCCCTCTCAAGGTCAATATATTAATTAAGCTATAAAACAATGGTTATTGACTAAAATCGACCGATTAGCTGTTGTCGTTCGGAAATTATATACCACAACTACATACTCTAAGATTTTCATGGTCTCAGCTACCATTGTACGGCCGTAGGAGCTATTTGAAATTTATCGAAATTTACCGGGAGCACCGGTAAATCTTTATATTCAATTTTTCTCGAAAGCAGAAGTGTTTTAGGGGCTAACATTTCTGGTGTTTTTAATACAACCACAGGGGCATCCAAATATATCAAAATTGTAAAGAATCACTATCCACCCATATTTCAAAATTTCCCAAAACTTTGTAATACCTTTAAGAAAAGACATTCCTAGGGAGAATGTTTTTCTTCAGATAACATATTTGAACCCCTACATTTTCTTTAAGAAGAGTGACTTGTCTTCCATGATTGGATTGTCTATTGAGAGCAAGAGGGGCATTCACTGTACTTGAACAAGAGTTAACACCCTTCTGGCTCTCAGCAGACTACATAGTAGATTATACTTTTTGAGAATATACCACAATAATAAATTGAAGTTACACTTCTTTTATTTTGAGGCAAGACCTACCTACATTGACGAAACCTGAAGGATTATAACTTTATCATTTTCATGACAAAACGTATCACTGAATCAGAATTTTGTTTCATTTATAAAATCTGTGTTTTGGTATAGAGTAAAAAATGTCTATTCATTTTTTTCATACTTCATGTCTAGGATTTGTTTTGTTATTCCTCATTCTTATTTCCTATAACTGAATTTCAAAGGATGAAAGCAGGTTACAGTAAAAAAGCAGTTTATAGTAAAAAGCAGGTTATAGTAATAAAAGCGATAATAGGAGACCAAGTGAGATTACAATGGAAGATATAGAGT